TTTTGGGTCGCGAGTGGCTCACACGTCTTCCTCTGGACTGGGACAACATCTGCGGCGTGCACAAGCTGTCGGACTCTCATCGGTCTGATGAAAGCAAGAAGTACGAGGCACGCCTAAAAGAACTTCAAGCCAAGTACAGCCGCATCTTCGACGGCACCCTTGGCAAGATAGAAGGTGAGCGAGCCACTTTAGTTTTGAAAGAGCAACGTCCGAAGTTCCTCAAAGCAAGAAACGTGCCTTACGCACTCCGTTCGGTCGTAGAGGAAGAGTTGCAAAAGCTTGAACAAATAGGCGTCATTACGCAAGTGTCAACCCGCGGGTTTGCTACGCCTATTGTACCGGTAGTTAAAAAGGACGGCACCATACGTGTGTGCGGGGATTACAAAACAACGTTGAACCCTGTCCTAGACACGGAGCAGTACCCTCTGCCCAAACTTGAGGAAATACTAGCTGCGCTCGCCGGAGGCAAGTATTTTTCCAAGCTGGATCTTAGCAGGGCATACCAGCAGGTAGAGAAGTCGGAGGACTCAAAAAAGCTTCTCACACTGAACACGCACAAAGGGCTTTTTGCGTTGAACAGACTCCCTTTCGGAGTAGCGTCTGCGCTCGCGTTGTTCCAGCGCATTATGGACAACATACTTAAAGGACTACCGGGTGTCATATGCTACCTTGACGATATTCTCGTCACGGGAGCAACCACTGAAGAACACCTCAGAAACGTTGAAGCCGTGTTTTGTACACTTCAGCAGAAAGGTGTTCGCGTCAAGTGTGAAAAATGTGAATTTTTCAAGGAAAGCCTGCAGTATCTGGGGCACATTATCAGCGAGACCGGCGTCAAGCCAAGCGAGGAAAACGTTCAAGCGCTGCTGCATGCCCCAGCGCCTACTAACATCGCAGAGTTGCGTTCACTGCTTAGACTGATAAACTACAATGGAAAATTCACGCCACGGCTAGCAACGCTGGCAAAGCCTTTCTACAGGTTACTACAGAAGGATGCTCCCTGGTGCTGGGATCAGAAATGTCAAGATGCCTTCCAAGCCATCAAGGAAGTCTTGTCTTCGACGGAGGTGCTGGCACACTACGACCCGGCACGCCCGCTGCAGCTATCCGGCTATCACGGGTTATTTTGGCATCGTTTTATAGTTCGGACTGGTACATAGTTTTTAATACAGTAATTCACAATGTTCTTAAATCTAAGCCACAGCGTGTTAACATCCGAGGAAGGCTCTGATACTAGCAAAAGAAGCTCAGCAAGCTGTAAATCCCGCGTGTCTAAAATTGAAGTGTAATCAGCTTGAGCAAAATCTATGGGATTTGTTATTTAGTCGCACATTTCCTCATTTCGTTCGATAGCGATAGGAGAACGGTATTGTAATCGCACATTCCTGCAATGCTGCAACATCTTCTCAAGCAGAGAACTTTTTCATAGGGTATCTGATAAAAATGAGATCTAGGATGGACTTTAAGGTATCTTGCACTTTTGTGAAAGATTTAGCTTTTTGTGATAAATCTAGTGTAAAAGCTAAATCTAACAGTTCCTCGTTTTGTTCCAAGTCGATATTCTCCGGAAAATAATTAGGTCAATCTATGTTAGGTAAGTTAAATTCTTCCCATAAAATAACTTGTTTTTGTTATACGCTGTGCAAGATAATTCTTTAAATATTGAAGCATAGAAATAGAGGAGTTCGGCAGCCTATACACACAACTCTCAGTAGATATGTTGTACCATTTACTGTGGCGTTCAAAAAAACTCCTTCGACACCAGCGATATCATTCAAGTTAATAATCGCTAATGTGTTTTTTTTTTTGTCTTTTCGTACAATATTGTAATTTCTCCTTCTCTGGTTTCTCGGTCTTTTTTAATGGCATTAAAGCCGCTAGGAGCAAAGTCACAATCAAAACTGTTGTTATTAAGCCAAGTTTCGGTTAAGCAGACGACATCCGGGAGGGGACAGCATGATATGTTCGAATGCAAGAGAGTTATTTACGACAATTTACGTTGAGAAATTTAAACCCACATGATTATGGTGATATTGGTCATTGATTTCTAATTTCTTTGATAGCGAGCTTTTCGCCCTTTGTTTCATCCCACACGTAGTAGTGCCGCTTATTATAATATATCGTACCGAAGGCTCACTTTCTTATTTTGATCACGCTCAGTTGCTGCGCTGTTCCATCGATTTCTCCTGGCTTCACGAACTCTAAACAAGAAGTCTTCCGTGACATACAGCTTTGAGCCGTTCAGTTTCGCAGAGTTGTTCCAGACCAACAAATTTTCACAAAGATCAAGAAATTTTACAACGACGTTGTATTTTATTTTCCAATTGTCTTCCTATCCTATGAGAACGTTCAATTCCAGGTACAGTCATTCCAAGGCAGGTTTTAAAATTTTTCCTTCGTGATTCGGGTGCTTAGCTTACCTGAAGTTTCTACAGGTAATTCTTCAATGCCGAAGGTGATAAGATTTTTTCTGCGGCCTTTGTTCTCAAGATTGTCAACTTTGGTAAGCAAAAATTTCGCTTGATCTTCAAGAGCGGCCACATTTGCATTGACCGAGCCGAAATGATCGTTAGCTTCATTCATTTTGAGGTTTAGGTTTGTGACGAGAGTATCTAAACGGTTTGCATTGCTTTGATTTCCTTTTGACCTTTGAGTAATTGAAGCATAAGTACTTGATCTGCGGAGCCGAGGATTGATTCAATATCACTTCCTAGCAAAAGAAGTCCCACGAACACACGCGAATATTCAAATAAGCAGAAGCAAACACTTCGTGGACAGGGCAGCAGCATGATAAAACGGTTTTCACTACGAAAGCAGGGAAAATCGTCACAAGGGCCAACCTGCAGTGCAAGAGCATTGCGATTAAGCATGGTAGCCGATGTGCTGCCACGCTGCCCACTGAATATCCAGCCTGTCGTGGTTTCCTTTATAGCCGACGTTTGGAAGGCATCACGTGACATGGCAACCATTCCAGTGCACTAAGCCTTTCACGTCTACTGACGAACAGGGATTAGAATTACCTCTAAAAGATTCTGCAATCGGGTTGTTCCTTGACTTTTCGTACTTGTTTTTCTGGTGTATGTCTTCGAAACCCTGATTCCCCTGACGCAATTTTCCTTGAGATTTCGCAGTAGCGACGTCGCTCGTGCGTCGAAATAAAAGCGAGGTGGAAGCTGTGGTGCTCGACGTCCCAACTAAATAATCGCGAACAAAATCGCACTAGGAGCATCAGGCTTGATACATTTTTTTTTTAGCTAATAAGAGTTGATATTTGCATGTAACGTCATCTCGTGCCAATAGTTTTATCGCGCTGCTCGGAGTTCTAAACTTCAAATTCTGGGTCACGCATTTGCGTCTAAGTATGACCGGCTGCGTTTCAATCTCTCGGGACCGTTTATAACAAATTAATATACTGGCGCCATCCATCGTGCAGTCCTGAAACACGTCCGATTTGCGTTTCTAATTAATAATGCTTATATTGATTTCTAGCATACACAAAACCTTTAATCTAGTTATAGGCGGAGATAAAGTGTTCCAGGGAGGGGAGATTGAATAGCGATTACAATCAAACAGCACTTCGTCATTCATAACCTACACAGCACAGGAAAAAAAAAGTTTTTTAGAGTGTTTAAGCTAGAGATGACGCTGAGCTATTCGATCTAAAACAAAATTCGCAGACTCATAGTTCAAGTTACCTGTTAGATGACGCTAATATGACAGTATGTTCTCTTGCCGTAAAAGTGTATCACTCTCAAACGCAAATGCATGAAGCAGGTTTTAGTCATGAAACCATGGTCCTCTTGCACACGATGTTACTCTCGAACGCACTGCCAAGCAGCGTGTTCGTAAACTACAAAGTCCAACGTCATTAAGCCGCCTGTGGCGTCCCTGCCGATGACACCTTCCGCTATTTTTCTATCCGCATGCACGTAAATGGTTCTTCGGTACCGTCGTCCTGTCAGTTGGTGAAACTCTATGGTGCCTCCAAGAGGAAGTCTCCGTCTGGTGTGTTTGCGTCCTATCTCGCTCGTGTATCCAAAGTGGTCCTGAAGTAGCAACAAATGACGTCACAGAAGCCGGACCGTCATGCTGTCGGGTGTCGCGATATTGGCCGATGGTCGTACAAATGCCGGCGAAAATCACCAGCGAACCCGAATGTCGCTCTCGTCGCGGCGTCCCAACTTCTGACTGCCGCGACTTCCGTGGACTGTTACACTGGAGAGCGACCTGCAGCAGAACAGGCGTCTGCCACATCTAGCACCGCTGCTGGGACGCCGCCAGGATCGCGACCGGTGACAGCGTGGTACTTCTACGACGTCACCGGGCAGACATCGAGGGACCGCTTTTCTTGAACGCTGTAAAGACACCAGTCGGAAACGCGTCTTAGGCACCAGTGTTGGTAAAACGCAGAGGCGAGCAGACGGCTCTCGAGCTGAAGATGTAGAATTGGGGACGTATTTATAGACCTTTCCAAGAAAGAGCGTATGGCCGGTGCCATTTCCAGTGTTCGTGCGTATGGCGCGTGCTTTGCTCGTTTTCCGGAGCGACGCACACGCGCGTGCTGAGCTGTGGAGATCGCACGCTGGGCTGTGGATTTGTAAATATTGGAAAGGTCTATAGGACGCTTCGACCCAAGTTCGCTCTGTTTTATCCCCTCTTTGGAGCCACCAGGCTGCGTCTGCCGAAGAAATTTTACCCACCGACAAGACAACATCTTGAGCGCCAGCTTGTCATAAATTCGAGTGAGGTCCGCTAACTATAAAGATTGAGTACCAGCCGAAACTTCTTTACGTTTCCGACCGCTTTGACTGACGCAGGCCATTGAGACGCGACAGAACTCGAGTGATATGGAAAGCACAATTTACGATCATAGAAATACATCGCGGATATAAGAAGAAAAACAGACGTGTGTCACCCACATGACTTCCGGCGGGAATTTTAAGCCGGAGATAGCGATGCAGCTTGGTATCGTGCAAGCACCCTATTTAATTTGATTTCAGATCCCTGCCAGACAGAGAATGGCCAGCCGGGCATTTGCATGCCGCTCTTCGACTGCAAGGAGCTCGAGGATCAAATGAGCCAGGGCAAGTTCCCTCCCCTCTGCAGTATCCAGAAGCGTGTGCCCTACGCCTGCTGCCCACGCAACGAGACATTATCGCTGGAACCAATTCAGGGGGACGTCATGGCTCGCGCACTCAAGACCTCTGAGCTCGACTACGAGAACGGACTTTGTAAGCATATATTATACGAAGGCTCTCACACCTGCCTTTACTGCTCTCCCTTCGTTCTGTTACCTCCGGATGATTAGTCACTATTTAGTCCGGAGGCATGAGTCGTACTAGTGCATGGGTTGATCGTGACGAGGGAAGCAAGCGCCAGTTTACTATGGCTGCATGATCAATAGAGCAACGTATAAAATCGGATGAATTAAATAATTAAAACTTTAACTAATAGCATGTCAATACACTAATCTATTGAGGTCGGTTAGTTGGTTGAGCACATAATGCATAAATATCATGAAGGGCAGGCGTACATACATTTTTATTTCAAGTTTTTAACATCTTGCAATCTATGTCCACATAAGCCAAGGCTTGTGTGTGAGCCACGGCAGGCATGAAGACAAAAAAAAATTTGAATAGCACTAGTCCCGTCGGCTTCGTGTACTTGTATGTCCTTCGCGGTTTTTAAGTTCAAAAAGACATTACATACAGATCTATCCATATATATCTTTTTTTTTGAGGGGGACCGGTGGCCAAATGGGCTAGCGGCTACTATCTCGAAGCCACGTGGAGCAAAACCTCGCGCTTCCGGACACAGGGACCCTGGGTTCGATTCCTACCCCTGCCCGTTTCGATCTGAATGTGCACCGTACCAGCGTGAGGTCGTGTATCACTACTGCGTGATGAACGTTAAAGCCCTCAGGCTCGCGGGTGCACTGCACTGGCTAGACAAGTCGCTTGTTGAGGCAGACTTAGTTCAGACTGTATAAACATAACGACAACCTTTTTTTTAATTGGGTAGATTTCAGTTTTAATATAAAGCGTTTTAAAGTAGCAACGCATTCCGATGTTATGTGCAACCTTTTCATTTTTGTGTTCCATGTTAAAGTAGTTCAATAAATTTATGAATCAAAAAGTATGATGTATGGAAATGACGATAGTTGTACATCGCGAAAAACAAGTTTAGAAAATAAAACATTCCGCAACGGTGGGAACATAAAATTGAAGCTTCTGATCGAGCCGCTTGTCCCTCATAACTAGTCCCGGTGCCGTCTCTAATGACACGGGTATGTTTCTAGCACATATACATGAGAATGGCAGTCCCAATCCCGTCAGCGTTGCTTGCACTCAAATTGTCTATACAACGAAGTTGGCTGGTTCACTACAGCGGACGGTATGTTTCGCTTGTTTGTTTATTTAGGAAACGTTAGCAGACCAGATTACCTCACTCCCGCCGGCCAGAGCTTTGAAGAAAGAGAGACAGTGTTTATCGGAAGTCGAAGAGGCGAACGACAAAAGCGCATTACCATAAAAAGCATCTTTGGAGCATCAACTCCTTTCACGCTATTCGCCCACCATGAAGCTGGGAACATCGAACGCACCTCTTTATCATGCTATATTACGTAACCTATTATTCAGGGAAACAACGGATGAGTCGCTTAGCTGGGTGCGCATGTACGGGTATGATATTCTTCGCAAAAGTGCTACCGTGGATGCTCACAACGCGTTTTAGGACCTAGTGACCGAAGAGGGCAGCGCAGAGGAGGCGATTAGTGGACTTGTCTATGAGACTCGATGGGACCTCATTGGCACGTTAATAACCTAGTTAAACAGGCGCACTTAACTGCAGTTACGCTTAACCACAGTTGTTACACTATACACACTAAATACACGGACAGCCTTTATCGAAATAAGGTAATCCTCAACTGCTGTTACGCTTCACCATAGTTACACTCCACTGCGGTTAAGGTAATTGTAGTTACGCTTCACCGCAGTTACACTTTATTGCGGTTAGAGGCACCCGCCTAACGCGGGTATAAATGAATCGATCTGACCACCAAGACTCCCATTCCTACGAGATCTTTGAACTTACAAAAACAATGCATTATTTGTAGCTGCAGCTTCTGCAAAACCATGAAACATCACATTAAAAAAAAAAAAAAAAGATTTTGCCTGCAATTCTATTTTCTTGCCAGTTTGGCAAGACTCGCTCTCCTGGATATTTTTTTCATCGCGCACTAGACTGTAATTTCTAGTAAGTGATAACACTGTCTGTGTGGGGCGTTAACCGAAAAAGTGCAACTTTTTGCGTGGTGTCAAATTGGGTCCTGTCTTAGGTCGACATTGTGAATCATAAACAGATTCAAATAAAAGGGAGACATTACAGAAAAAGTTATTTTTATTTTTAGTCTGCGGGAAAACTGCACCTCGCCCTGACGACGAATTGCTTCTCCCTCTTCGTCTTAAGACCATTGGAGGGAGGAACGCAGCCAAAGGTTCCTACCCCTTTGCGGTGAGTTTCCCCGCGTTCGCGGAAATGCATCATTTTTACCTGTGGTTCACATTTCAGTGCTTGTTCCTTAGTCTTCTTTACCGAACGCTCCTGTCGCAAAAGTTTCAAAGCAACCCGCTAGCTAACGGATCCCTAGTTGGCGGGTTCGAATAGCGGTCGTTGTGCCCGCAATCTGACGGAGGCTTATTATGGAATATCGGTTGCCGGGGCGGCAACCGATATTTCGGTTGCACATCAGACGATCCAGAAGCCATTGAAAGTACCCATCAGTCCTTCGTAGAGGCGTGCCAGATGTCGTCCGATGGTTTGGCACGTAAAACCCTAGACTTGTGTTCACTCAATGGTCATCTCTATAGCAAGAAAATATCGGCCTACATGGCAAGGTCACGCGGACCTCATCAAGCCTTGAAGATTTTGAGGGACCTTGACAGAATTGCGTGCGTCTTGAGCACAGTCGAGACACGCTGAGGAAAGTGCTGTATGTTATCGTTATCTGGTAGATAATCCCACAGAACGGTGCTGGTCAATAAATATTGATACTTCGCTCGTTGCCCTTCGTCCATACAAAGTTTCAAAGCCGTGGTCTCGCAACGTCGTACGCTGGAACAAGAAGCCCATTCACACAATAGCATTTAACTAGGAACGCGTTACACTGAGATATAAAGGCGAGTTACCGCACACATCTGTCCTTTGCGCACCGAGTACAAATATACTCCTCGTATTAGACACCCCGCTTCGTACAAGGCGTGGAAATTCCGGCAGGTAACGGTGGTACTTAAACGTAGGTCCCGGCCATACGTTCATAGCAGACATGGTTTACGTTGCCCGAAAAGGTACTCGCTCAAAAAGTAATTAAATTCGTTACTCGTTACCGATTCTCAAGAGGAACGCGTAACTTTACCTCAAAAGTAGCGAGTTACTTTTCTCGTTATTTTGATGACCAAGTACGCAACTGCTTTTGATTCATGGTTTATTGCTTTCTTTACAGTAGTCGTTGCATTTAAGCACACATGTACGTAACGCGTTACCAATAACAAGGTAGACCTACTCAGTTAATTTTATCGGTAGCAAGTAACGTATTTAGTTAGTTTTTCATGAAAGGAACGAGTAACCTATTCGGTTACTTTTAAAGCAAAGTAAAAAGTAACGGTGTTTCGTTACTTCTGAAAAGTAAAGTGTACAACACAGTTTAAACAACCTTGTTTTTCTTCAAACCTTAGTATGCATTTTTTGCGATAAAGTCAGATGGCCAACACGAGAAACAACTAAACAGTATGACAGTAAGGTAACGTTTATTGCTGAACACGTCAGTCGAACTCTACAACTGGGAATGTCCTTCACCCGGCAATCTTCTAGGATTGGGTATAGACCGAATGTAAACCTGGAGGTTGCCAACACAGAAAGGTACAAAACTCATTGTCAACTTTGAACTTTAGAATCGAATAGGACAAAAGAGAGAAGGGAATTCCAGATTCACCAGCTCTTGCTGAAGCAGAACACTGCGGTTCCTTCGAGCACATCGGTAGAACGACTCTTCAGCGTCGCCGGAGATGTATTCTCAAGGAAACTGGGAAACTTAACAGATGAAAACTTCGAGAGGTAGCCACTGTTTAAGTGTAACGACTACTGAAAAGAAAACAATCAACCACAAACCAAAAGCAGTTGCCTATTTGGTCGTCGAAGTAACGAGAAAAGTATTTCGTTACCTTAGATGTAACGCAACGCGTTCCTTTTAAAAATCGGTTACAAGTGACGTATTTAGTTACTTTTTGAGCTAGTGACGGTAAACGTTATTTAGTTACTTTTTGGGGGTAACGTGTACATGTCTGCACTTAAGCAGTAGATCCCTCTCGAAGTTTTCATCAGTTATGTTTCCCCGTTGCCTTGTGGATACATCTCCGGCGACACTGAAGAGTCGTCCTACTCACGCGCTCGAATGATCGGCAGTGCTGTGCTTTAATAAGAGCTGGTGAATCTGGGATTCCCCTCTCGCTTTCGTTCTCCATGCTTTAAAATTCGAAGTTGACACTGGATATTGTGCCTTCCCGCGTTGGCAACCTCCGGGTTTACATTCGCTCTGTACACGATTCAAGAAGGTTCGAGCAACGCACCGTATTATGTTCTCTGGGCGAAGGACATTCCCAGCTGTAGAGTTCGACTGACGTGTTCATTGATAAGCGCTGCTATACTGCCATACGGTTGATATGTGCTTCTGGTCGCCCATCTGGCTGTGTCGGAATAGGCGCGTGTTCAGGTTAGAAGTGAAACGAGGCTGTTTAAACCTTGTACAAGTTACTCCTCAAAAGTAGCGAAAAACTGTCCTCGTTACTTGTCCTTAAAAGTAACTTAGTACACTGAAAGTACGGTTGATGTGATTGTGAGCTGGCCGATATACATGATGACTGAAACCTGACACTGTGGTTCGAAAAGCGGAAAACTCTCGAATGAGGAAGAAAAAGGGGAAGACAACGTTGTCTGTTCCTTTTTCTTCCTCCTCCAAGAGTTTCCCGTTTGTAAAACCACAGTCTCAGGTTTCAATCTCAATGTATAACTGAGTACGTTACCGGAAAAGTAACTAGTTGGAAATAACTCGTTAGAAGTAACGCGTGGCGTGCATGTGTGGTTAACATTCAACCGCGACATCCTGAATGAGCTTATATCTTAAAAGGTGTAATTGTTCGAAGCTGCGTGCTCGGCGTACCAATCAATCCCCCGCATTTCATCCTCGCGCAGAGAGCCTGATCGCGTGTTGTTATAGGGCTGAATGATTCCACGAACACGCAGCACCTCCGCCCTCTCGACTTAGCGGCGGACAAAGGTATATATGTATTCCGTTTCACTTTTAGTTTGACCGTATCCGATGCCCGACCGGATGGAGCAAATCGAGCCCCACCGAAACATTCGTCGACATGGCACACATCGTGTTTTGTGACTATGTTGTCGCTGATTAAATCAACCCCGCACAATGAACGCGCCGGTGATCCTCCGTTTACTCCTTTGTGCGATTAAATCAGCCGGTGATGGTAAGACGACGAAGACCACGAGAAGCGTGACGACGCACTTTCGGCTCTGTTTAATCGGCTCCATCAAATCGCAGCGCCGGCTGCGATCGAACTTAGAGTGCAACCGAGTAAACACACTCGACTCTTACGTCACGCAACTGCGGTGGCGCCGGTGTAGGCATTGCACCTGCGCAGACGCTTTACATCGCGCGAATCTGGTTTCTGCGTTTGGGCACTGACCACAACCGGTGGAGGTTGTGGTCATTGCTTGTTTGTAGTCAGTGTGTTGGTCGATAGTAGTGAACAGTCCTTTCCGGACGTGCGCTTCGGTGCGCGTTGATGGTGCGATTCGTGTGTGTATTTCAGGGCTGGTCGCAACAAACACCGTGTGCTCGATGGAATGCAATGTAGAAAGCGATTAACTTTTTGTTTTCTTTGCCCTTTATCTAATTGTAATTAACGTAGCCAAGGAGCGTGCGACGCATTAGAACGTGGGCCTGTGACTGTGCAGTTGCGCTATTTCGATTGGTTTTGGACGTGCGAAACCGAGCAGAATCACGATTTTTCTGTGGCGAGCTGACCGTTGTTAGCAAACAAGTAAAACCGGGGGGGGGGGGGGGGGGGTTGCCTTTTTGCAAAAGTGCGTGTCGTCTAGTTGATGGATTGTACAAAGGTCGCGTCGCTTAAGCTTTTCGTGGCAAAGTGTTCCGTTCACTTCCGCGTAATTTCATTGCAGTAGCTAAAAAAACTGCATACCATATAGCAAATGCACATGACGCACTTCTCAACAGGCGTCCTACAGCTTTCCGCACATATTTAACCATTGAAACATAATTTTTGCGTCAAGTCCACGCGATATAAACGTGTTATCTCTCATTCTCATAAAACTCCCGATGTTTCATGCAGGTAGCCATTTTTCGCAACAAACTGAGCTTCGAAAACTTCTGGTGTGGAGGTACGCTCATCACGAGAACCATCGTCTTGTCCGCAGCTCACTGCTTCTACAAATCACCGTGAGTCGACAAATGTTTATTGCGCGTATTTCGTTTTTACACCTTAGGCTCACAACACGCAACCTAGCAACTAGAGGTCTGCTTAACCGTCGACTATACACGTTTCCAAGTACGGCAAGAGGGCGCCGCCATCTTTCCCAACTAGACTGCACTTGGACACGCGTCATATTTCGATTACGACGTATTGCTAAGGGGTCGTAATCGGATTATGACGGCTCCACCAGCACCCCAACTAAGCAAGATGGCGGCGCCCTGTGACCGTACGTGGAAACGTGTATATGAGTAGAAATTACGAGAGAGAAAATGAGATCGCGAAAGCACGTCGGAACGCCACCGAGCTTTGGCTGGAATCATTAGTGGGTAGACACAAATTAAATGCATTTGTCTCTGCTCGCTGTTCGAACGCTCTGGAATTCGAACGCCAAGTGCCGAACGCCGGCGTTCAGACGTGTTCGAAAATTGATTAAAGAGAAAGTCGGCCTGCTTTGCCTCTATCCACTAGACATTGCAACCAGAGCTCAGTGTTGCGACGTTTCCACGCACATTTGTCTCCTACTCGTCCTCAGTTTTTACCCACGAAAGCGCCCCTGACAATAAGCATGTTTCGCTGCGTGCCTCTCAAGGACGCTACCAAGGCAATTGCGACAGATCGGGCTGTTCAACGACGAACCGTGACTTAATTGACAAACCACCACTCAGCAGTATATTTAGTTTGTGCTTGTAAAGTTCTTCGTGTCACGGTCTTTGGATCGATGCATTTGTTAATATACACCTCAGCATATCAAAGCCAATAATCACCGCTCCTTGAATTTCTCTGAAAATTAACGATTGCGAGAGCCGTGCTGTTGCCAACTCTGTCGCACATTCTGCGGCAAACATACTACAAACACACGCAAATACTGACACCGGTATTCACCCACTAAATTGAGCAGACAAAGCTTCTCGCTCAGTCTAGTGTCGTGGCGTACAAATGCCCAAATAATTTACCCCCCTCATCCTAGACAGAAACTTTTACCCGCTAAATGTCACGTTGTAACTTTATGCCCTGAAGCCACGCGACACTGTGAAGTCATGTTTCACGACGACCATATGTCCGTTCCATCAGGGGATGTGCTACGAAAACACACACAGAGCAGCTATCGTCTCGAAAGCTATAGTCTATGTCGTCTTGAGAAACGCAGGCATGGCCGAGTCTCCTGAGCACTGTTATTGCTCCGCATCCAATGATTTCGCAGCATAAGTCGACCAGAAGGCTCAGGAACCAATCACAAAGCAGGAAGAGGGAACACGATGTGCCATGCCCTGCGCTTCTTGAGCTGTCAGTGACTGTAAAGGTTGGTTCACACGCTTGCGTTTGCTTACGACCAACTTGGGATTTCTGACGACGAGAATACGCTGGCGCCATCTATAATATGGCCTTGGAACGAAATTTCAATATGGCGAAAGCATTTCAGTATTTGCGAGATCGCACGTATGTGGACGACTTATGAGAAACGGTCGTTTATAATATTTCCGAAAGTTTTTCTTGAGCAAAGGAAGAAAGCATGACGTGCGAATTAAAGAGGCATTATACGAAAACTGAAACGGTTCTATGACTACCTGAAAGATGGCGACAGTGTGCTTTCTCAGCGTAAGAAAGTTTAAGAGGTTTTAAGGCACACTGCCGTAAGCAGCTGCAGCGTGTCAACCAGCCTTCATCCCTCGCGTTCCCCATTCGTGTACTGGAGTGGAGAATAAAGTTGTTACGCAGTAACGGCACGCAATACCTGGCCCGTATCGGGGAGGTCAAGATTTCGGGCACGAAGAAAAACTCGACTCTGGAGCGGAACGTCACGTCGGTAGTCGTGCACCCCGACTACAACGAGCGGCAGCACTACGCCGACGTGGCTCTGCTGATGCTCGACGCACCGGCACGCCGGAGAAGACTCAGGAGACCATTTGCCTGCCTGCCGGACGCCGGCGCGGAGCCCGACAATGACCAGGCCATCGTCCTGGGCTGGGGTCACGACGCATTCGGTGAGTCTAATCAAAGGCAGCCAATCGTGACCCGTCATCGGTCGAGCTCGTGGGGGAAACGAAAGCTCGTGGGCGTATTTGGCGGATAAACAAGCGCACGAGATGCTCATCGAGCGGACGAACTTCCAAGCTGTATCGTCATTGACAACATAACAAACGCAGGTCGTGGCGGGTCCACTGCATCTTAATTTAATGTCCCTCTGCAGCTTTTGCCAGCATCAGTTCATAAGAACACAACAAAACGAATCACAAAGCAAGAAACGTGAACCCAACAGTCTTCGCCCCGTGTTCCTCAAAGGGATGCTGAACTGAAATTTGGATTTTACGTAATAAGATAGGAGTGTTGAACGGGGCGCCACGAACCTCAAAACACCACTCATGAAGCGATATCTCGAACGGGTGGACGTACTTTTGTAAAATAAGAATGCGGTTCAGTGAGAGTCGCGACGTCGCGTTTCCTGCAAAATAGTTGAGGAGGAGGGGAAACGGCCTGGGTTCCTTCCCTTTTCGCGTGCTCGCGGAGTCAAAGCGAGAATAGGAGAAAACGTGAATCGCGACGTCACGGGCCTGTCTGGCCTTGTTCAAGCGCGCTCTTATTTCACAAAAATCCGGCTATGTGTTGGAGATATCGCTTTATAAGTGATGCTTTCGTGTTTGTACCGTCCCGCCTAGCGCTTCTGCGTTGTTTTTCTGAGATCAAAATTTCGGTTCAGCATTCCTTTAAGCTCCAAGTGACAAGAATGGCATTCAATGTTTCTAACTTGTTGAAAACGTGAGACGTCAAGGCAAGACGCAAAGCATTAAAATCGAGGGAACAATGTGAAATGTCACTGCCGTATATATCTGGACTCCGTCACGAATGGTGCTTTACCGTCAATTGGTAGGAGGCGTAAACGATTGTGTCCATGGCGACAACCAATGGCGTCCTCGTCGGGCGTCTCGGTGCGAGTCGCTTAGATGCATCAACGTACAACCCGTACTGTGTACGGGTTGTTACGATCGGGGTTTGCAACTTTGAATGTATGTATGCATTCTTTATTTCGTAATAACAAGTTAAAATTAAAGTGAACGTAATAACTTACTTTCTGGTAGTTTTAATTACTTTTTGTGGTGCATTAATTGATCACTGTAACCAGTTACATTCTTCTCTAAAGTAATTGTAATTGATATCGGTTCATTTGTTTCAGTAACGCGTACAAGAATGCTTTCGAAAAGGCTTGGTATTCAAACTCGCAGTATGAATCTGTTTTTCCAGCCTACTTCGGCATGGCCTGTACTGATCGCTCTTAATGGTCCTTCTCACTCAAGCAAAAAGGAGCACTCAATAGTCATTGCGTATATTTTGTGGATTTTCCCTTTGGAGGATACAACGTAGAGACAAAGGATGTCTTTGGGTCTGTAGAACGACATGCTTATTGACGAATACCAGGTTTTGCTCGTCGGCCAGCAAAGAAAAGAGACTAAATGGTTGGTGCTATCGCATCAGACAAATTCACCTGAAGGTGCCCACGCTACCATACTAGGTCGATTCGTAGGAAGGGGAAGCTACAGTAAGAAAGTAGATTCTCCATAGACCAGAACCTCCCTCAGCAAGAATGTCTGGAACTCTCCCCCCCCCCCCCCCCCCCCCCCTCCCTCTTCCTCCCGCCCTCGAGGGTTTACGGCCGGCTTTATAGCCTGCGGAAAATGAACACGCCTGGACTAGGTGGTTTGGTTTAGCCCGCAGATAGGTCGCGTCCACGATCATTTTGGAGGTATGCCAGTGGCAAGTTCACCCAAAGAAGCGAAGAACATACCGTCCTCTTCCAGGAATATGACCTGGCCTCGTATTCAACAAGCCGCCGTCAGGGTGATCTCAAGCCTGCATCTGTTAGGCCTAGATAAGGAGACGGGAGCACGTAGTCCCCACAAGGTCCAATTAATAATGAGCTTCTGGCAAAGCCGTATCGAAAAATACCCTTCTGCCCTGATCTGTTATGGGGCCGCGTGAGCCGTTCAACCCACTTCAGCCCTTCAATTAAACCCATTCTGCCTTTCAAACTCCTTCAGCCCTTCAAACCCCTTCAGCCATTCAGACTAGGGCTGGGATGTTGATTGATTAACCTACCGATTAATCGATAAATACTTTCATTGCGATTAATTTGTTAACTACTTAATCGGTACAATTTTGCGTAATAAAAAAAAAGTAGAAATTCAACTGTAGAAACGAAATTTGTAAGTCCGAACAATTGCAGAAGGTTACAGGTGTCTCGGCCACTTCAACGCCGTTCGAGTGTCCATTTAGCGCAGCAGAGTCTATTGTGAACAATCAAGGGAGGTCGCTCTGGCCGGAGAATATCAACGAAACTCTTTGACTTACGCAGCTGAAATAATAATCTGTAAGTGCGAGTGTCTTGGAACAGTTCCCAACCGAACATTGAGGTTGATTCCACATCCAATTTTATATTGCGCCGTTTGTCACATATTCAACAAAGGCGCAAAAAAAATTGTTTTGCTTTTTTATATTTTATTTCTGGAAATGAACGAGACCGATTATTCGATAAATTAATCGATTAAATAGTGGCGGGTAATCGGGTTAACATTGTTAATCGAAGCCCAGCCCTAATTCAGACCCTTGAGTATTTTAACCCTTTAGAAGCCCAAATGTTTTTCGGGGTACTCAAAATTCTGCTGAGTAAAATCCTTAGATGTACGATTAACTTTTAAAGACGAGGTTTCTGAAATCGCCTAAATATGGCGATTGTTGGTTCTAAGCATTTTAAAAAAAACTCTAAATAATGACGATACGCGACCGATTTCCTTATTAAAAAAAACAATCAAAGATCGCAACACATCGAGGTCATCTCCAGAGATGGGGAAAGCGTGTTCCCAAACCAGAACCACTGTCACTTAATAGCAAGCAAAAGATCATCGCGCCTTCTACCGGTAAAACCGCGGAGCTATATCTCGATTACGCGCGGATCAGTGCCCATAGAGCCGGGACTATGACTCAATATAGCGAGCGCGGGCTCAGAAGCTGATGACCGGAGACATCGCTCCCTCGGAACACAAAGAAAAACATTGTGCACTATTTTTGAGACGATCACTGCATGATTATGTGTTCCCTCTCCGCGAAAAATTAACATCGCCCGACTACTCTTATTTGCGTTTATAATATACAAAAGCTTACAAATTTTATACTGACAGCTTTTACGATCTCAACGAAATGTCGCGTTTTAATTGGTCACATGTCGTTCTGGCCTACCGGAGCAATACTCCCCTCATCGCTGGAGATGGCCTCGGTGTGTTCTACCTTTGATTTCTTTTTTCTTTTCTTTTTAACATGAAAATTGGTCTCGCATCGTTATGACCTATCAATTCCCACAGAGTGAGTTGTCGCCATATTTAGGCGATTTCAGAAACCGTCTTAGGGCACCATTAAAACCGATCTGGTGCACCACGCATACACACACACAAACAGAGACTATCAGTGACACGCTTAGTGAAAGCCACCATCCCGAAACGAACATCGGCAACCGTTAATGCAATCCTGAAGACGGTTACGGAATAGTCCCTGGTGCATTGCAGTGGCGTTTCCGGCGTCTTTTACAGTAACTGGAAAATATTCTGATGCAGAACGTACCAAGAGGCGTAAGAAACGGAGCACTGAGAGACCTTTTCTCGTATTCACACATTGAGCTGCTTTTGGGAGATGAAACCCCCACGTGGGACGGGAAGCTGACAATGAGCGAACCTTCGTGGCGGCCGCCCGATACAAAATGGCCAAGCGGCTTCTTCGACTCATGTATGCTGAAGGGCCACGTCATTTCTCCAACAGAACCGTTAAAATATTCGGATGGGCCCAGGGCTTTCCCGGAAACGATCGCAACATATCCTACAGGGTTGTAAAAAAAGCTCTGACGGACATCTCGCACCCTTCAGGAAATGTTGAAGGGTATGTCAAACACCTTAGAAACTTTCGGCGGACATCTCAGACTTCCCAGAATTCTTTTTAAACGGACACTGACAAGGTCTTTATGCTCGCCAAGATTTTTAGTCGTACATGACATATGAGAGCCCAACTACCCAGAACACATTTTGCGACTTAAAATTTGTTTTCTTTCCACCCGACAACCGCCGATCGAGAACTGGCCATTTTGAGTCGTGTGCGCTCTCTTCTCCATGATCACTCGCCGTTTCTATGGTTTAGACACAACCACAAAAGATAATCAAAGTTGTGAGTAATTGAAGGCACATGCTCAATACTATAAACAGATAAACATTAAATATTCATTTTTGCGGTTTCTAAAATGTCTCAAGTAAGTTGATTGCACAAAAAGAATGTTGCACCGCCATGTGATTTCCGGTTTCTTTCTCCTCCTCTATATTTCTCCTTCTTCCCCAGTCCAGTTTCGATGTCGGCTTCAAACAGTTGCGTTTTATTTTCAACAATATACGTGACACGTACTGTAGCAAAATATTGATTGGGTAGTCTTTTAACACCATAACGAATCCCCTGGCAAGAAAGTTTGTAAAAAACATTTTCGGGGGGCTGGCGCTTCTTTAAACGTAAGTCAAGACATTTCAGAAATCCTGGTGTGTCCCACAGACGTCCTTTTCAATGGAGAGGGGTCGCCATCTACGGATGTACGCGATGGAAAGAGGGAAAGGCGCAATAAAGTAGAGGATAAGTAGATGGTAAGAAGTTGCGAAAATATGGCGGGTTAGGAATAAACGAATTTGCGGGGGAGGGCGGGGGGGAAGAGACTGCACAAAGAAATATGCTGTTGCATTTTAAATAATCCACAGAGTCTTTTTTATGTCTCCAGCTTGCCACAATGTAGTACCGGTTCATTGTAAAGAAAAACGACATTGTGTGCAGGCGGACGAGTCCACAGCCATCTTCAGGAGGTCAGGGTGCCCCTGGTGGCAAACGACGTCTGCGACGAGTCCTACCGCTCACTCGAAAACTACGCACGGGAGTTCCCCCGAGGCGTCAACGACGACTTCGTTTGCGCGGGAAACCTTACATATGGCGGCGTCGATGCTTGTCAGGTAAGATACCCCTCCGTACATCGCTTTTGGGATTCTCATCCTATTGGCATAAGTTGAAGGCTGTTCAAGTCGTTATTCTAACGCATGGTCGCTCCCTAACAATATTTAATATGTACCACTGTATAGAAGAGGAAATGTCATCTTGATATCAAATACGTATGAGTAATTTAAAGATTCTGATCGGTGCGAACATGTCAAATGTATCGTTTTCGACTGGACATGGTTCGGTAGAACAAATGGGCAGAAGTTAAGGTTGGAACGATTGGTTTCAAATTTTAAGAAGTTTAGATTATGGGTGTTTGCATGGCATAACCTGGCCTTTTTTTAATTTTAATTTTTGTTTGAGATACATATTCCCTGCAAAATAGGCTTCATGGAAGGAAAGGCACGATAAATTTTTCTGACAACTCTTCGGTTTTTACGTAAACTTGTAACGGTTGTTGTTGGAGATATTTTCAAAATGTGGTCGTAATTTGATTATGAATTATAATCAACGTATATGTAAGGCTAACATAAATATAAAAAATGGCAATATAGGCCAACATTGTTTCGTAGTACAAATTCACTACCGTGATGTGAGTACTCAAGATAATCGAACTTGTAGCAGACAAACTTCAATATCTTCTCTTTTGCACACCGTGGCCCTTTTATAAACTTTCACGTTCAGGTTTAAAAAAAAAAAAAAAGAATGTTTGAATCTCCAGCAAAAGACGCATCGTTTAAATAAAAATGGTAATTTTCCTATATTTCTTAGCATTTAATGAATAAAGTTGGAGTAAATAAGGTACATTATTATTGGATCTACAAAATATCACCTGATTTCAGGGAGCATTCCTCAAGTCTACATAAAGTCAACAATAAACAAAATAACAGGTTCTTTAAGAATTCTTATGGCCGCTTGGGCCATCTGTGGAGTTGTGACCGAAATTGGAGAGCTGCTTGATCAGAACAATTGATAGCTTTGCACTAATCTTTACACTGAAATCAAGAGGCTTTTAAGCAGCTGTGCATGGGCGCAGCCTTAACTGACCTTTACTTTTTTTCCCTCTTATTCGGTGCGCTTCGCTTTATTTTTGTGTTCGTGAGACAAGTTATTTTGTACTATACGCACCAGGGCTATGTATAAAAAGTTGTCTTGTCCCGATTTCGCAACCAGTCTCATAATGCCACCGCTGCCACTATGCATTGTGGGACAGGTAGTCTTTCTGCACGCTCCCCAACCTCGAGAGGGGCCTGCGCGAGCATAGCACGAGGCGGCACGAGCCGTCTTGTGCACTGGCGCCTTTTTCTTATGAACTACAGTTATGGCGGCGACACGTATGCGTGGAACGCTTACTGAGATCAGTTTAGTCGGTATTACCGTTCTTAGCGGCTGTGCATTACAATGAAGTAACAAAAAGGCAGTTGTGACTCAAATTTGATATTTGTAAAAGGTGTAATAAACACCCTTCTTGCTAAAGGGGCTACTAAAAGCGTGGCACGATGGGCAAGACCCTCCCCAGGTCGTCTTTTTGTAATAAATCGTCTTTCATTTATTTAAACAAGCATAATGTTAGAAGGTCAACTTTGACTGCGTTGGTTTAATAATGCGACGACTCCAAACTACCACTCTAATTTTTACGCCCACTATAACTTACGCACTTTGTAACTAACCATGAGCAGTCAGGGTCACAACTCGTAAAGTTCCCTCGCCCTTCCCTTTCGTTCTTGAAAGTGCCCGTAATCAGTGTTCCGAAATAAAATCAAGCGAGATGCTCAATGCTACCCTACTATGTTCTTCTATGGCCGGGCCAGAGAGCGACTTACCTTGCGCCCTTCGTTCTCACCTGGGTGCACTGAGATATTTTTAGCCGCGTGAGGTTGCGACCACACTACTTTGCACAACACTGCCTGGCCACCCTGAACAACAGTTCCCTGATCATTGCGATTGAAAATGTAGGCCGACATACTTACCTAAAATAGCTGCAAAGCGCCGATTGAAATATGTTTCGGCTTACGATAATTAAACGCTTGCTTATAGTATTAAACTTTTTGCGGAGTCGAAGAGACGGAGGTGTTCTGGCGGCGTGAATCTAATAGCTCTGAAAAGATCTCCAAATTAACCCCGGTGCAAAGAAGCCAAGACGGTAAGGTTGATGTGCCTCTCGGAAGGAATTAAAGCTCTGTAGGAAAGGTAGTGCTGCGGAAACCCTCTCAAGCTGTGGCTGCAAAAAACAACTATACTCCCGTACAAAGGTCGTAAGAGATCGGGCCTGTTCACCCTAGCCTGGCCATGGTACTTCCAACTGCTGAACGAGGCAAGCCACACTTGGCTTCACACTTATACACATGAGGAGAATGACCTGGATGAAAAACCTGCGCCGCAGAACCCAGGAATCATCGATTCAAACCATGACGCGGACTGTTTCGATCTGGATGAATATCGTACCGGCGTGCTAAATTTCTCGGAAACATAATAGACACCAGGTTCCTCATAAGGTAGTTTAACATTCCGCTGCTTAATCATCCAACAACAAATACTGACGGTGTATTTGCACCACGAAGGTTTTCTCCAAAGAAAAATCAAGGCGTCATCGCGTTTCGAGGACACGTGCACCATGTCACGAATGCTTGCTAATCTATGTGCTGCGCCACTCCACCGGGGGGCGAGGATTGTCCATCCGTTCCTCCGAGAAAATAACATGGTGTCGAACGCGAAGCTCAATGCTGTGTGTAAAAAGCATGGAAGTTTGAAGTCGTCACAATTTTGTACCAACAGCGCCAAGATTGACGGTTGGACAATGGAATGAATTTTACTTTCATCGACGAAAGAAGAAGCAGCCTCGAACTGTCCACTTCGTCGTTTTTGTTTTGAGAGCGCAGCGACTTCAAGTATCCCCCATCCTAAGTCACTAACATCACCAAACTAATCGAACTCGTCGTTCGGCGTCATTTTCCTTGCTCGCCGAAGCGGACAGTCTCTAGGAAGGGAACTGTTGTCCAATATTGGACATTTCGTCGCGGTGGACATTTCGTCTCGTTGGACATTTTGACCTGCTTGGACATTTTGTCTCGTTGGACATTTTGACTCTTTGGACATTTTGACCCGATTGGACATTTCGTCTCGTTGGACATTTTGACTCTTTGGACATTTCGACCCGATTGGACATTTCGTCTCGTTAAACATTTTGACTCTTTGGATATTTCGACCCAATTGGACATTTCTAATCGGTGGACGTTTTCACCCGATAGACATTTTGACCTCTTTGTATCGTTGGCCCAGACTCTGGCACTGCATAATGTTGAGACGGACGTCTTTAGAATTCCGAATCCTTACACGCGCCCCGGGTTTTCGCTAAAGCGGTAGTAGTGTGATGACTAAGAAATCTGACAAACTTTTTTTGGAGAAAACAAAATATTTCTAATCGCAAAAAAAAAAAAAAAAAAAACTAATATACGTTGTGGACGCTGAAAGTCCGCTAAAATGTAACCCTTGCGGTTGGAAGAAAATGGCAAATTTCAGATTTGAGCTCTGGTTAAAAGAGGGGGGGGGGGGGGGGGGGGATTTCTGTTTTTTTTAATTAACAAATGGAGCCCGTTCCCGGTGACGGACGCTATTCCTCTTCATGTATTCGCGAGCTCTGTTGACCACCTTTTCATCACTGAAAATTTCTAAGCATTGCCTAAAATGAATCAGACTACGCTATGTTCCGAAAAATTGGGTTAATTGCTCCAGCCGCTGGAGATATATACTGGCGGGATTGGTGCTGACCGCGATATTCAGCTTATTTTTGCGATGCTCAAAACAGGGTTTCTTTCCCTAACCTGCAAATTAGGTGACACCTAAGGCAATATAATTAAACGTGATGAATAACGGCAGCAAATGCAATAAGAGATTTTGTAATTAGGATAAGGTGAATGAAGCAAAGATAAAATAGCGCTAACTAAAACTTTGGATTAGGTAGTTGGTTCATGACTAAAAGGAATGAAAAACGCAAAAAGACACGAACGAAAAAAAAAAGGAAAAAAAAGAAAGGTTGTGTTTTATGTCTTTTTTTTGTCTGTATCTTTTTGCTTCTACAATGTTATCTTATATTGAGCCAATTTTAATCTATAAAAACCAAGGAGGGTGCTTCGTGCCCAGGTCCACGAGGTTCACATGCGGACGTTTGCAGCAGAAGCGTTTAAAACGAGACTCAAGAAGAAATTACTGATTGCACTTGCATTCGTCATTACCTTATTTTAGTCGTCCACCCGAATCTTTTCCCCGGATAGGGCGAGCACATGAATACGCGGTGTGTACGAACAAACCCAGCATGCTTCAGATTCGGCATCGCATACTGTGTTCGCTGCCATCCTAGCTTCCTTCCCTTGATAAAGGGGACAGATTACTGCACCCTTGTTATAATTAAAGTCACTGCTAGTGGCATTGGTCAGAAGGCCTTGGACAGGGGTCGGCGCATTCTATGCCTCCCGCAGTTTTTCCCGCATTTCTATTCCATATCTGACTCGATCATACTTGATATAAGCAACATTAAACAGGGTTGCAACAACTTTCGTAATAAGCATTCTTAACGCAAGCCATTCAGCGTGTATACAGCATGGAACGGATTAAAAAATGACACGTGGTTCAATACAAGTCTGTTTATTCCACATGCAAATATAGTATCGTCTTTTCAAGCGCCGTTAGTCAGCTCAATGTGAGACTGGGAGCGCGCCACTGCTGGCAACTCTGTCGACGTAATTCCGGACATCAGCAAACGTGGGCGTGTGAGAGCTGATGAAAGATGCAAAGGCGTCCATTTCTTGGTGCAATTTGTTGTTCCTGGTTTGGATGACGTGGGATTGCGGCTGAGCCACGGCCAGAGGGTCAAGCAGTAGCGCTTAAATCCTGTTTTGCGCTGCATGCTGAGCCGACTTTAGGAATTGCAGAAACTCTGCCAGGTCGGGATGTCTGCTTGGCAGGCGGCTATGCAGACCGTTGTGCCGAGTCCAAAAAGTACACGAGAAACACCGAGTCC